GACTCGCCGAGTAGGATCGCGCATTTCTTGTCTGATTTAATGAAGGACTCGACGAGTCGATGCGTGGACTCGGCGAGTCCGCGCTGTAAATTGAAACCCTAATTCTCGGGGTCTGTGCCCTATTTAAAGGCCTTTATAGCCTCCATTGCGGCCACTTCACCCCTGAGAAACCCTAGAGAGCAGAGAGAAAGCTTGTAGTGCAAGAGGAGGGCTAATTCATCATTCTAAGTGTAATTTTGCAAGAAAGAAGGAAGGAGGACAAACAAGGAAGATTGAGGAGCTCAGATCTATCACCCATTTGATCAGAAGAGGCTGCTAGAGGTACTAATATGTGCTCAATCTCGTGTATTTGGTGATCTACTTGAATCTAGGGTTTTCTTATGCCTTCTTTGGCTTGGATTCGAAGTATGTGAGGTCCCAAGGTGGAGTTCTTCTTAGATCTGGACCTTAAGAGGTCCAGAGAGTCCTATCTATCTTGCTTTTTTGCTATTCCATTAGAGATATGACCCTAGGTTGCCATTCTAGAGGTTATTTCACCCAAAGAAGCTTTATGGACATTGCATGAGTGTAAAGGTCGGACCTTTACGTGATTATAGTGGTTGGGAAGGCCAGATCTATAGGTTAGAGAAGTAGATCTGACCTCAGAAGGTCATTTCAGTGTTGCCATGGATGCAACTCGCCGAGTCCATAATGGGACTCGACGAGTCGAGTCGGGGTTGCCCCGCGATTCGTGACAGGTGTAACCCGTCGAGTGGGACGATGACTCGACGAGCCAAGAGAGGCTAGAAGGATTCAGAGAACCCGCATGGACTCGCCGAGTCGCCCATGTGCACTCGACGAGTCGGTCAAGGTTTGACCATTGACTTTCGTTGACCTTAGGGTTATGGTCAAGACTGATTCAAGAGAGTTCAGGGAAGGGTAGAATGGCCTACTCTCTGTACTCTGACTGAGAGAGAATATGAGAGATAGATGGATATTGTAGGATGAATATTTGAATAATAATAGGAGGAGGCTAGGTCGGGACGTTGAGCACGAGAGTTTATCCGACTTCATTGAGGTGAGTCTTCTCACTATACTGTACCTGGAAGGGTATCTATGTGTGACCGGAAGGTCTTGTATGCTATGAGATGTATGTGCTATATGCGGTTATGTGATATGTATGTGCTATGTATGTTATATATGGTAAGGACCGGAAGGTCAAGATGATGTGGACCGGAAGGTCAAGATGATATGGACCGAAAGGTCAAGAGGTTACGGACCGGAAGGTCTACCGGGATTCGGGACGGAAGTCCCCTGAGACACATGGATCGGAAGATCCTACAGAGTTATGGCCTGGAAAGGCGTATGTGTTGCATGTGGTATTTTGGGGAACTCACTAAGCATTTATGCTTACAGTTGTTGTGTTATATGTTTCAAGTACTAGCGAGGATCGCAGGAAGGCGCCGGCATGATCAGTACACACTCATAGATATTATGTTTTGAGATTCTGGAAATTGTTTGTTATGATGACATTGGATACAGTTTGTTGATATGGTTTCTGATGATTGAAAATATGATTTAAAAATGAAAAATTGTTTTGAAAATTTACGTCGTTACATCTATCGTAAATTAACTATTTACGCTTCCCGGTGTTGTGTCGGTTCCGTCGCGAAACTTCGACGGGTCATAACTTTTTCGTTATAACTCGGATTTCGGCGTTCTTTATATGTACGGAACCTTTGAGACATATTGTACAACTTGGTTAAGATTATTTATTCTAAATAATCTTTTGTCGAAAAGTCGTTTTCGACCCCTATTATCTCTAAATTGACTAGCCCCGGATCTACGGGCGTTACAAGAGGCTACCTCATATACTTTTGTTGCCTCAAGGGCTCAATATTAGGTATTGCAATACCACATCTTATGGGATAGCGGCATATATGGTATGGATTCTGATTATGTTTGTGCATTAGCTTCTCTTTGTAACAAGCTTCCGAACATTGACCTTAGCAGTTTTACTACTAAGGACACTGCCTCCGCTAAATCCCAGAGTACACTGGCGAGTGTCTTTTTTAGTAAAATTGTCCAAGATATGGAAGTGCATTTCATCATGACGGCTCGACAGAAAGCAGTTTTCTAGTGTTTACGTGCACCACATGCTCAAGATTTTCTTCTAGCTATCCCTAGATGGGCTTGGCCAACATATGTCTCCTGTGGAGTATCATACCATCCTCAAATATCGACTCATGATTCCAATATTCCCAACTGACGAGATATGTCTGGTGTGGCGCAAGGCATGTTTGGACTCTTTTGGAGAGCATGTAGTTCATTGCAAAGAACTCCCGGGTTTCAAATACAGGCACGATATGGTTAGGGATGTTTTGGTCGACATATTTAAGTGTGTCGGGGTTTTTTTACCAAGAAAGAGGCTCCTGTAAATTTCTTGACTAACTCGACAGAAAGAAGGTCAACCCTTAGACCGACTGACGTTTTGATTTTTGGATGGGTTGGAGGGAAACACGCATATGTAGACCTTACAGGGGTATCCACTCTCGTAAGCTTGAGGGTCGAAGGTTTCACGGCAGGAGAGGCTGCATTAAAAGTTGCTACATGCAAGGTCACCAAAGATGAGAAATCATGCATGGAAAATCAACATGTGTTCATACCATTTGCATTTGATACGTTTGGTTTCCTTGCGCCGGATGCAGTGAAGCTTCTTAATATAGAGTACAATGGATCATGCATAGCAATGTTATATCCATTAGATCTATGGATGTAGTCTTCAAAAGAATTGGTTTCACCATACAAAAAGGCTTCGCAGCGCAACTTGTTGCACGTTTGTCTTCTTAAAAAAAAAAAAAAAAAAAAAACTTCATTATGTTTTTAGTGGTAATATCTTTAATATAAAATATCCCAAAGATTTTATAATATCCATACATTACAAGAGATAAAGAAAAAAATGATTTTGTGTAATTTTTCACAATGATGTAGTGTTCCACGTTATGATGGTGATGATGTTCATGTTATCATCTTATTATCATATCAACCATAAACACACTTCATACATAAGTGTACAAACGAGTCAAACTATTCTTGAGTTATTAAGTATTGGTTCGCTAAAAGTTCGACTCGAAATCGATTTTAAACGCCCTAGCCGAGCTCGAGCTTAATACTAAACTCATTTATTAAACGAGCTCGAGCTCAAACCTATGTCATTAAGCTCGATTAGGCTCGTGAGCCTAAACAAGCCTATATACAATATAATTTTTTATTATTATTTTTATATTAAAATAAAAACTATTTGGGGAGAGCTCGAACTGATGTTAAGGTCATTTAGGCACATTAAAGGAAAAACGAGTTGAGCTTGTATAATTGTTTACGAGCTCGAGTCGAGCTTAGTACAACAAAGTTCGAATCAAGCTGAGCTCGAGCTCGAACCTCATATAACTTAAACGAGCTCGAATCGAGCCTGATTGCCTATGAATTGCCTTACTTGATAATTCAAGTCAAAACATAATGTACTTTTGAATTTACTTAACCTTTTTTTATATATTACTTTAGTTGTTAAAAACTTAAAATAAGTTAGACGCCTATTATAATCGAAATAGACTTTCAAACCAATGATTCTCTATAAATGGAGTTTTGAACGTAGATGAAGTTGATGACACATGGTTGCCATTTGCCAAGGTGAATAGAAAAACTCCTGGTTGCCAAGCTAAGCTGAGTAGAAAACACTAACTGCTACCCATGTGATTATTATTATTATTATTATTGTTATTATATATATATATATATATATATATATATATATATATATATATATATATATATATATATATATATATAAAAGTTATGAAAAAATTTAACAGTAAACTGCATTAGGGGTTGGCAGAATGGGTCCTTTGATTATGGTGGGGTTGCAATTGTTTTTTTTTCTTTTAGGGTCATATTTTGACATTTTGTTATTTTATTACCTGCTTGAAGCTTCTAGCACCGCTTATCCCATCTAATCTAATTCTTTCCTTCTTCCTTTCTCATCGCCGCTTTGTCTTCCCCTCCGGATGCTTCCCACCGCCTCTCCAAAACCCTCTACGTGTTATTCACTGCTCCCACCTCACTTTTTAACCGATCATATTGTTACAGAAATCCCTTCCCACCGCTTTCTCATTCGTTCTATTATCCACCACCTGCCTTCCAAAGGGGTACGACGATGACCAGGAAGACGAAGGTGGTCTGGCAAAGAGGGAGTGGACGTGGGGGTTCTCTGTCTATCTCCTCCGATTGTTTCCCTTTTCTCCGTCTGTCATACCCCTCAGATTGCTTCGATTTCAAAATCCAGACCCAAGTCACCTACGTTTTTTTTTTCCAATCGAAAGGTACGCAACCCCTCACTGAGGCAAAGCCCACGAGGGTTTCACACTCAATTTACGTTTCTTATTTCATCATGTAATGTCGGTTTTTTCCCTTTTATTCACTTACTCAACCAACTCTTCTCACATCTTGCGTTTTCCGGTTTTTCTCATGCCCTAACTTTTGCTCTATAGATCGATTATGGAAGATGCAATTCTGATTTTGAAATTTTCGATTTTTTTTGAATGATAGATCAAATTGGGGAATTTTTTATCTTATCTGACCCTTGATTTATCGTTTCTCACATACTCTGGCGTATGAGAACCGGAATCCAACCGCGGGCACCATCGCATCTTCTTCAACAACATGTAAAGGTATTTTTCTATCCCTATTAGTGAAGTGTTCAATTACTAATGGTTGTTTCCAGTGTTGGTTCAGCAGGAAAACAAGTGACACAGGTTAAATTTTGAACTGATATTTCACCAATTTGAATTTAGGTACTTCATTTGTTGCCTTCAAATTGGAATCCTAGCAGGTTTGTTTTATACATGAACTAAACTGTAAATTTTATATGGATTATATAAAATTTAGAATTTTAACTTGGGCCCTTTTAACTTTGGTCTTTATGTGATTCTGAAGATGGCTTAGCTGATTCGGTTAGCAAACAATATATGTTCTTCAAAACTCACGTACGTGTTACCTTATTTGTCTGTTTAACATATAGATGGGTTTTTTTTACTATGAATACTAAGTGTTTGGTTAAATGTCTCAATGAACAAACAAAACTTAAAGTGTGCTTCAATTTGCAGTTCAGTTTGAAGTGGTATGTCATCGGTTGTGCACTTTATTGTGCACGTCTCAGATTAAAATTAAGAGATTGTCTGTCCAAAATTCAATTTCACATCCAGGTATCTTCTTTTATGTTCCAACTTGGTTACTAATTAATCACATCACATTCTCCTTTTTATTTTTTGTAATCTCATGCCTCAATATATATGTATTTTTTTCTATAGGATGTTGGGGCTACATTGGTAATTTGCCTATGGGGTTTTGATGATGAAGCAAATCACTTATTAATGCACAGAAACTTGCCTGCTGTGAGATGGGTAGTTGGTGTTGAATTAGAGCTTATAGCAATAGCCACTGGTTTGTGTCTACTAATTATCGCATAACAACTGATTATTGTCTATTTTACCCTTTTGATATGATTTTGGTGTTTATTCTTTATTTTCAACAGGTGGAAGAATTGTCCCTAGGTTTCAGGAATTAACAGCTGAAAAGCTAGGCAAGGTATAATTTCTCATTTACTATTTTCATTGGTTGTAATCCTGAAAAATACATAATAAATGACTTAAATTTTTTATTAAATTTATGGGCAGGCTGGTTTGGTTAGAGAGAAATCATTTGGCACCACAAAAGATCCGATGCTATATATTGAGCATTGTGCTAATTCAACGGCTGTAACCATATTTATTCGTGGGGGTAAGTTAACATTTTTTTTAGGACCTGTATCTTTTTCTTTTTTAAGTGTTGTATAAATAAAGACTTTCTGTTTTGGACTAACTGCATGAGGTCAGTTATTAAGAATCTCCCACACAAAAAGCTTTTTACCAATGGAAAGGATAAATTTTTAGGTCAATTATATCAACCACTTTCATTATACTAAATGGTCTTGTGAGTTTTGTATTTTGTACAATTGACCCGCTTTATTCAAGAATGTTCCATTTTACTCCCCTGGTTATGTTTAACCTTCAAAGCTTTATCATTTTTTTCCTGATTAAATGTTGTTGGATAGATAATCATAATTTTGTGATAAATTAGGTAGCAAGATGATGATAGAGGAGACTAAACGCAACATTCATGATGTATTATTTATTTATTTATTTTTAATTGTTCTCATGCATTCATATATTAATCTTTGTAGGTGTGGTTCGGATGCTGTCACATCTACAATTTTTTTAGGAAGTATTGACTTATAGGTAATCTTTAAAAAAAAAATTATCTAGGATCATACTTTTATATGAAAGAAAATGTTAAAAACTTAAAATTGATTTTAATGACTTGCAAGAGTTTAAAGATTGTAACTAAAAACATTGTATTATGAAAGGAAATACATGTAGCACTTTTTTTTTAAAGTGGGACAAGGACTATTCTTTCGATCTCCCATCTATGCAAAAGGACGAAAATGCCCTCAGGCCTCATCGTCTTCGTTATGTTTTATTTCTTAATGTAGACAAGGGCAGAATGGTCTTATCTTTGGAATAAACGGAAATATTAAGATCCCATTTGGAATGTTAATTCTTACAGCTTGAGAAAGTCACTGAAGCTAAAAAAAAGCACAAAAACATTTACTTCGGGTAAAGAAGAAGGAAAGAGCTTCATCCTTCAAAAACATCCATCGGTTTTTGTTCCGACATTATCTCCACCGGCTGAAGTGATGCTCCGTGCACTCGAGGTATGGATAGTTATCAGTTTTTAAATAACAATGTACTTTTATTGCTTTGTTTATAATGGATTTGTACATTCATTTATTATCTATCTGAAACACTAACGTACTTACATGTCTGTACAAAAACAACAATGTAGTCTAAATTTTGCTACAATGTACTTAATTTTCCCTAAAAAATTATTGTTTTTGCTGCAGTTATTTCTGCCACGTGGGGTTCAAGTTGAGAATACCATCAAAGTTTCTAATATTCAATACCTTCAGGTAGATTCTATTTGCGGTCAACAAACCCGTTTCACTTAGCTTTAATTTAAAAAAATGGCAATTAGGGAAAATGGTCCCAAAAGTTTTGTTTTGTTTTGTTTTTTTAAATAACATATTCTTGATGGATAAGGGTAGATATTGTAATCTTTTTAGTATGCACAGTTGCATCCAAAAAAAATGTCAATACGATAATAATAGAAAATATGTTTTCTTTTCTTCAGGTGGCTTTATTCAAGTTATGAGGAATGGGATTTCGACTAAAAATGTTTTTACTATCAGCCAAAAGTGTTAAATGCAAAAAATAGCAACGCACACTAATTTATTTGTTTACTTTCATTTCTTACATTAGGACATTGTACTATATTCAATCTATCCAGTTGCTAACTATTTGAATGACATTATAGCATCCTACTTTCGTGAGCTGCCAAACATCAACAAAACCATCTGATCCGTGCAACGCACGGGCCTCATTTCTAGTTATTATTTTTTTTTTGTTACTTAGTTCGTAGATGTCATTTTATTTTTACCATCTCATTTCAATTCTCGTCATTTATTAGTGTAGTGGTTTGCTATGAAACATTTTTTTAATTTTCTCTAATAAATGAAAGTTTTTTTTTTCACTTGACAAACTCTCATTCAGTTTGTCAAATGTATGATTATTTTGAATTAATTTTTTTTCACATGTCATTTTATGAGTTTTTTTCTATTTTATTAAATCTTTTCTAATAAATAAAGATTTTTTTTTGGCATTTGTCACACTCGCATTAAATTTGTCAAATGTCATTTTATGGTTATTTTGAATTAATTTTTTTTACATGCCATTTTATGAGTTTTTTTTTATTGTATTAAATTTCACATAATACTTTAATATAATAATTGCAATAAATGTAGTAATAAATTGATATCAATTTCATTAATGAATTAACATTTTAATTCAAATTTCCCAAAATGAAAGTTCATTAGTTTTATTTATTTATTTATATTATTTGTTTAAATTTTAAAGATAAAAAACATTTCAATTATAATAATTCATTATTTTTCTTATTTTCTTATAAATTCAAAGTTCTCAGATATTTTGACCTTTATATTTAACTTTTTTTAAATTAACTCATGTAATACATGAGTCTCACAACTAATTTGATTATTATTTAAAGCTCTACTTTATATATACTATATTTTTTATTAAATTGATATGACAATATATATATATATATATATATATATATTAATTCTCATAGGATTGAAGAACAGTAAGGTTTTACAATTTTAGTGTTTGGCCACAGAAGTTTGTAGACTTTGCCAATTTTAGTTCCTCTATTTGTCACACGTACTTATGTCCGTTCACTTATTTGCTTCCAACAACCGTCTTCCATTGGTTAAGCTAAGCTAGATGTGTAAGCTCTCGACTGCCAATTGACCTGGAAACACAAACAAATTTTTTAAGTCGATGATCTTGAGGGATCCCGGGTCATGCTCCGATGATAAAGTCAGTAAAGACTTTGAGGTATTATGGGAAGTAAAAGAGTTTATTGAATTGTTTAGTATATTGAGTGTTACGTACCGTGTGAAGATGGTTTAGCTTACCTATTTATAGTCGTGACAAAAGGGTGGTGACCTCTTCTTGTACCGAGCAGGTTCACCGTCTTGTCGCATTTATGGCTAGGTCTCCGAAGGCACATGTTAGTGTACTTAGTAGCCGTTAAACAGTTGTTCCTCGTAAGTGTAAGGATCTGTTAGTCATCTAGTCATCTATTATCAAACTGTATTTCTTTGAGTTTCCATGTCCTTTGGTACTGTAGTGACGACATATCGAACGTTAGTTGTTATTTCACCATGATTCGGTATTTATCCATGATGGTTCAGTACCTATCCATGGTTCGATACTTCCAAGGGTATAATGCATAATGTCGGTCCCTATACCCTATTACTAAGTAAGATGAAGATGGAGGAGGTGAAATTGTGAACGTCGAGGGAATTTTCTTAGGGCTTTATTTTAGTGGTATAAAATCTTTATCAATTTTTTTATTAGATTGTGTACCAACGTTGCCCCCATTAAATAAATGAATGACTCCTTAATCAACCATAAACAAGACCTACTCATCTGCTGACTAAATTTATTAATTCATTTGTAGGTCATCAAACTCGTGAGTCATAAATAAATAACATCAATGATTAATATGTCAACTAAATTAATAATCTTTATAGCACATTTATTTTAAGAAAAGGAAGATTCTGTCAAATCATTTGTTTTTCTCAACCCAGGAAATGCCTAACGATCTGTTGTACTGTTTCTCAAGAGTTGGCAGGAGTAGCAAGATCCAAAGATACAATTCTACCAAGAAACCAATATCAAAAAACCACCAAACCACAATGATAGGTTAACCTCATTAAAATTTCTCAATCAATTGGAAAGAAATACTGAATCCCTATTTTATTTCTCAAAAGACAAATATGGAGACAAGGGTCCATAAAAAGCAAGAACCAACTGAACCCTATATTCCATGTACTACTTTGAAGTAATTAAATGGATATGGATGTACTCTTATATAACTATTGTTGCCATCTACTTTATTTTGCTTCCATCCTATATGCAAATTCAATTACTTTGTTGACAAATCATTAATGCTACATTTAAATTCGCAGTTGGAATTTTGAAACCATTGAAGGTCAACTCTTGTATTCAGAGGAGTGCATCATCAAAGCAGTTTGTAACACCTCAACAATTCAAACTTGAAGTTGGTGATGATGCCAGTATAGATTTTGAGAGGCTGCAAAGAAGTTGGTCAGCCATGCCCTGGTAACCATACATACCTATCAGAGCAAAAAAGAAAGAAATGGTTATGAAACAGATACAACACAGAATCTGATATAATAAGTTTGACATGTCAACTCATCAGATAACATTTTGGTAGACTATACAAGAGAACAATATCAGCACATCACTCCTTAGAATAAGATGGATTAGTAGAAAAATAATTGATGGTAGCATCAGTTAAGTGATAAAAGGTCTAGATAAAATTTGAGATTAGAGCAAGCAATCTAGACCAACGTACAGATGTTCAAACACACTTGGTTTCTGATTAGAAGAATAGAGAAAGCTATCTAGATTAAGGTAGGCAGAGTATAAACGTTGATTGAATCATGTATAAAACTGTAGACAAAGGCAAACAAGTAGTTCACCTCTCTTTTTGCTTGAATATCCAACTAACGGTATAGAACCTCTATTTGTCATTGGGAATCATACTGTGTTGATATGGTGAAACTGAAGCGAATTTACTCCCAGACCAGTCCCTTTGCTGCATCATCATATTATATGGATGAGAATGTGAATCAAACCCATGATGATAAGCACCACCACCGGCTCCAGCCGGATGGGAGACCATCTGCGGCGGTGGATAAGGCATGGGCACCATCTGCGGTGGGTATGGCATTGGAATCGGCACTGGAGCGTGACTATTCCCATTCCCACCACCACTGGACTCGTGTAAACTCTGAGGAACAGGAGTTGAAGCGAACAAGTGATCTGAAGACGAAGGCCCTTCGTTGGATAACCCCTGCATCCGTTTCAGATAAAGTCTGTACTTCTGAAGATGACTAGCGACGTTCTCTCGGGTCAATCCTTCAACATTCATCAATTGCATGATCGTTTTAGGAACCGCGTTCTTAACACCTAGATGCGCAACGACATCGACAAATCGCTTATGCAATTGCGGCGTCCAGACCAAACGAGGTCGCTTCGATGTCCTCGCCGACGAATCATCGGCTCGCAAAGCCGAGTCAGCTTCCTCTCCAGCTCCACCAATCGCACCGGTACCACCACTATCGACTCTCCTCAATTTCCTCGAATCTGAACAATCTCCAGTTAGATCAGCCGTTTCATCGCCTTCCGCAACCATCTCATCTCCTTTATCATCACCAAACGACTTAAAACCATTGAATTTATTCAATGTCTGTTTCACCGTCTGTCCTCGGAGATTCGATAGTGTGTTTTGAGAAGCGCGGTTGACGTCAATCATACTCCGGTGAGGCTCCGGCGTGATGCTGAACGCCGATGCCAGTTCCGCCGGTACCAGAGACTGTGACAACGGCATCAAATCATCAGCGTTAGGCAACCCAGCCTCCCACTCCAAAACTCGATCGTCATCCTCCCCGCCGACATCGTAGTCGGTGATTCTCACTTCCTCTCCCATGATTACAGATCAGAATCGAAATCACAATAAAAAATCAAAATCAATCGATCTCAATCCCTAAATCCACAAAAATAATGTTAGATTTTGAGTGAAGAAATTAGGCGATCACGTGTGAAGGATGGAATTGGAACTATTGTGAGATTTTTCGGGGGTGAGGGTAGAAATGGAAATTCACAAACGAAAAGTGCGAAAGGGAAGGATTATTTATTAATAAAATGTGGCAAAAGTGCAGGATCTGATTCCAAATGCCACCGTGGAAGTCTTACCCCCCTTCACTCTCGAATCTCGATTCTTCCAAATATCTCATCCAAATCCAAATAACTTTTTAATAGAATCTCAATTAAATATACATCAAGATATTTTTATTATTTAATGAATTATTATATTTTATCATTTAGTATAGGATATTATATTTTAATTTTTATGTTCGAAGTTTTATATCAACTAAAAAAAATATTAACTTTCGCTAACTGGAATGATTCGAAAATGTGATTTATAAACTCATAAAATAATAAATATAGTTTATTTGCAATAAGCATTTTTAAAGATATATATAATATTTTATTGTCTAGATAAGTTTCTAAGGAGGGAGTCAACCCATTGTCATATCATTTTTTCTCTTTTATTTTTTTTATCTTTTCCAATGCACAACACACGAAAATCCTATCTTTTTGAACCCACTCAACTCATTCAATTAAAAAAAATACAAAATAATCAAAGTAAAATCTTAATTAGCAATAGAGTTACCGCCGGTACCACTCCCGTTTCAACGGGTTGTTTAATTGGTTTCACTAACTCACTTCATCATCTTTCTCTATTTTCTCTTTCTCATTTTCTTTTGTATCATGTGTTTTAAAACTTGTACCTTAGTTGTTTTGTATTTTTTTTTTAATTGAGTGAGTTGAGAAAGATAGAATTTACGTGTGTTGTGGGTTGGAAAAGATGAAAAAAAATGACAAAAATTGATGTGTCAGTGGGTTCAGTGGGTTGGAAGGGAATGACTCCCTCCTCCCTAATCTAAAATATATACATTTAACCATTTAATGTAAGTTTATAAAATGTTATATTCAACATTTATGTTGAAAGATACTTCAAATTAAATACTTTTTTCTGAATAAAAAACATATACATTTAGTTTCTTGTTAAAAACTTACCAAAATAATAATAATTGTATATCGGATTGTTGGAGTTGCGAATAAGGATGGCATGTTAGAAATTTTAACTTGGAATATAAGAAAGAAGTTCTTAATATTTTACTATATTTATTGGTTTATTTGTGGGCAATTGATTGCCACTTCGTAGTCTAGGTGGGAAAAAATTAAAAAATATGTATAAACCAGTTGATTGAACCTGAAAGAGCCCGTACAACGTCCATTTGACAACTTCACAAATTGCCTATTTTTTATTATTTATTTTGTTTTTATGTTTAATAATTATTTATTAAATAATATGCTTATTAAAAAAATTATATCATAATATATAGCTTTTAATTTCTTACAAATAAAAAATAAATGGTAAAAAATAAATTTGATTGGTTATATATATATATATATATATATATATATATATATATATATATATATATATATAGAGAGAGAGAGAGAGAGAGAGAAAAAAAAAATGATCATTTGAGAACTCATATATTCCCGAGAACTAAATAAGAGTCGTTTGATCAAAATAATAAATGGCCAAGATGATTTAAGACATTTTGGTAAATAATTGAAAAAATAAAACACGGGGGTACGGTGCTGAAATTAATCGAAGGGCATTTAGGGTATTGAAATCAGATCAATTCCAACAAATCAATCGATGCCTCTTTCTCCCAAATTCTCCGATCGTCTCATCATTCCTCTTTCTCGCTTCGTCGTTGATCATTCCAGAACCAACGTCCGAAATACATCGCCTCCTCCGTCAACTATCTCCCTTTTGATTGTGTGCTTCATAAGTTAAACACTGAAAAACGGCAGAAACAGCTAAAGGAGTACTCCATTCAGAACCCTAGTGCTTACATAATCGATTCTCCTGATGCAATCTTGCGGTTACACAACCGGATTTCGATCCTCGAAGTGGTTTCGGAAATTGAGACGGCGGAGGTGAAAGACGGTGAGTCGACTTCCTTTGGGACACTGAAGAAGACGGTGAGATACGATTCAGAGAAGCTGAAAGACATGGCGTGTTGATTTACAAATAAATGATTTCAATTACAAATTTGCTTTCAATCGGATCGTCTAGACCGGACTCAAACTGTTAGAGGACGAGTCAAAGACAAGGAAGGTGCTAGAGTTCACGATCGATTCTCATCTCCGCCTCATCTTCTGCGATCGAATCACATCTCCTTCTCATCTCCGGTGACCGATTCGGTACTACACCTCATCTCTTATTCATTTTTTGTATATCTTTCGGATTTGGAATTATGTTTTAGTTTACAATACTTTTTGATGTTTTAGTTTACAATACTTTTGTTGATACTTTCTATAAGCTCTCAAACACCAAGATACAAGTTCAGGCTTAATGAAAGAAAAAGGAAAAACTAGATAAACAAAAAAAATCATTACCTATACCAAACGTATATATGCGTGGACATAAATCTGATCCTTCATTTCTAAGTTTCTTCATCATAACTTCACAAACTGTTCTCTCATTTTCTACAGCTCCATCTGTTATAAAGAAAACAATAGGAACAGATTGCTTGCTTCCAGATAACATCTCTACAGCCTGACAAAATATAACCACAATAAACAAAAAGTACCTTTTTTCTAGTTATGTTACATGAAAATTGACATATCTTTTTAGTTAAAATTCAAAAAGAAAATAACCTTATCAAGAGCAGTTGACATATTTGTCCCACCACCTGGAATAAAATTCATCCCAATCCACTCATTAACATTGTCAAGAGCTTCCTTAGTTGCCAACTCCAAAGTTGATGAAAACAAATATGTCTGATCATTAAATGTTGTAACGCCCGTAGATCCGGGCTAGTCAATTTAGAGATAATAGGGGTCGAAAACGACTTTTCGACAAAAGATTATTTAGAATAATCAATCTTACCCAAGTTGTAGAATATGTCTCAAGGGTTCTATACATATAAAGAACGCCGAAATCCGAGTTATAACGAAGAAGTTATGACCCGTCGAAGTTTTACGGCAAAACGAGCACGACACCGGGAAGCGTAAATAGTGAATTTACGATAGAGCGACTTTTAGCCTTAGCGATCTAAACGAAAGTCGTAGAATACGTTAAACCGAGAGCGTACATAAAAAGAACGCCCAAATCTGACTTCGTATGGGGAAGTTATGATTTTTCGAAGTTTCGGCTTAGCAGTGTACAACCCGAAATTCGAATATTAGATCGAGCGGTTTCTAGCCGACACAACCTAAACGAGAATCGAAGATCTCGTTAATAGTAGCGTAACGATAAAAAGACAGACGAAAACGGACGTCGGATGAAGAAGTTATGAGATTTTAATGGACCAATCCTGTCCCGGCCTGTTAAAAATATAACTTTAAAAATAAAGTCAAAATTAACCGACGGAGTCTAAACGAAAGTTGTAGAGTACGTTCCCACCTACGCGTGGATATAAAGAACGTCGAAAACAGAGCTCGTATGCGAAAGTTATGATTTTTAGAAGTCAGAAAGGAAAATTGTGAAGCTGTTGCTAGATTGATGACGTGGCGCGATCCCGACCGTCCCTTGCTGTTAACAGGCCTCGCTTCGGATGGAGACACATCGCCTCGCTACGCAGCGCGTACAGGGAACGCCTCGCGTTCGGAATCGCTTGGACTCGGATGGACCACGTCGCACCTACAGGCCTCGGACACGTCTTTGTACGAAAGCTGAGCGTAACCGAGGAACGCCCTGTGTCCGAGGAATGCCTCGCGTAGAACCAAGGAGCGCAGCACGTAGCCAGCAGCCTCCGGCCTACAAAAGGGCTGCGAGGGCCAACCATTTTTCTCACCAATTCACTTCTACTTTCTCTCTCTACTTTCTGTCACTACCCCCTAACCCCTCCTAATCCTAGGTAAACCCCCTAGCACCCGAAGGAAGCCCCGAGGCTCCCGGAGTCCCGAGAAAAAGGGTCTTTCGGTTCGGAAACGCTGCTCCAAGTGAAGCCCGGTTTTCTATAAAACTCGTTGTAAGTGAGTTACGCCTATGCAATTTTTAATATAGCTTTTAAATAATTATAGTAACATTATTAGGACCTTAAGATAATTATTTGGGCTATTATTATGACTTATATAGAGTGTTGTTTAACGCTTATATAATAGTAATAATAGCTAGACTATTAATTAGTCGCGGTTAACGTTAGACTAAACCCTAGTGGTATTGATACTAGGTTTTGTCAAGGGAAAATTGTTTTGAGATAACGAAGCGCTGTCCGAGTACCGAGTCACCGCCTAATCAGGTGAGTGCATAGTTACTTTCGTCTTACACATAGATATGAAGTATTTTATAAATTACGTGTTATGTGTGCATATGGTCTGAATACTTGTTGTCTATGATGGATGAACGATTTTATACATGTTTTAAATGATTTAAACTGTATATGTATTTTATATCTACAAAATGTGTTGGGTAAAACATGGGTAGATGAAATAGTTGCTGTGTGACAAAAATAAAATGATTCAAGATGATATAGACCATGAGATAAGGGTGAGAGGTGAACCATGAGAGAAGCCTTTTACCCAAGTGTTGGCCCCGTCATCTAGCAGAGTATGGATGACAACCTCAGACTATTCTAGACAGTCCAGTGGACACTAGCAGGCTCGCAACCTGTAGGTGTATTTGAACTGTGTATTCACCAGCTGTACTCTAAAAACCCATTGACACGTATTGCGAGTGGATTCTCGGAAACGATACTGTCGATAAACGAGATAACTATGGCGACTATGCGATTTAGTGCCTAAACCCTGGCGACTATGCGACGTAGTGCCTGTTGTATAAACCCTGGCGACTATGCGACGTAGTGCCCGTTGTATAAACCCTGGCGACTATGAGACTTAGTGTCTATATCCTGGCGACTATGCGACTTAGTGCATGTAAAGTAAACCCTGACAACGATGGATTTCATGCCCATTCCTTAGGATGATCCTTAGGAAGGAATGAACGAGGAATAGCGAATTCTTAGGGTAGAGAGTAAAGAAGATAATGGGGATGAGTAATTGGGTTGATTGTTGGATGTTTAAACTTAATAATTATATTATTGTGGGTTGAAAACCCTATGTACTCATCAGGTTTCCCAACCTGACCCACTCAGTTTATTTGTATCACAGGTGTCGATATGAGTTACATTACACTGAGAGATTAAGGAGATATAAATCACTAGTGATAATGAATGTAAGTTCTGTTTATGCTTATGTTTCTGTATTGACGATGACATCCCAAATGTTTTAGAATGGATAAAAATACATTTCTTCGGAAATGCTTTGATAACGTATTCATCATGTTTTCTGGGAACAAATTCCGCAACATTTTTATTAAAAGAGGTACTCTGATTTTTATAAAGCATAAACAAAATCGGTCTTTTCTGGCCGTGAAAATGGGGATGTCACAAATGCCATTATACTAAATGAGTCCTTTTCATCCAGTTTTGATAATGTTGTAACAACTGCACTTTTTGTAGCTTCAATTGTCCTTCCCTTCAACTGGTTTTGAGTAGTAATTAGGGAAAGTGTACCGAAGCTCCAACTGGATGATGTTTTTCTGCAAAAGAATGATATAGCTAAAGGCGTTGAAGATGAGCTTCAAAAGGTGATACTTCTTTTTCTTTTAATTTGTTTGCAATTCCTTCAAAAACAAACTTATCTATTACTTTTTTTTATATGTTGTTGTAACTTGTAAATGTTGGCATACAGATGCATGAATGATGCTTCTTGACTTTAATGATGTATTTTTTTAGGCAATGTCAGGTTATGGTCTTGAGATTGTAGATACTTTGATTGTTGATATAGAACCAGATCAACATGTGAAGAAATCCATGAATGAAATCAATGCAGGTGTATATATATATACCACCTTAATTACATTGTTGATATAGTGATACTGGTAACAAGATTATTTATAAGATAATAACACCGATTATCATTATATATATATATATATATATATATATATATATATATAACAATAGTTGCTAGAATGAGAGTTGCTGCAAATGAAAAAGCAGAGGCTGAAAAGATTCTTCAAATCAAACGAGTAGAAGGAGAAGCAGAATCCAAATACTTATCTGGACTTGGAATCGCTAGACAGCATCAAGCGATTGTGGATGGTTTGAGGTATAGCGTGCTTGCGTTTTTACAGGCTTTGATTTTCATTTTTTTTTCCTATAATTGGTCTCTAATAAGAGCTTTATTGTCTGTGAAATTGCATATCTTTTCATTTACTTTATTTGAATAATTTTATATAGTTCAACTTCTATTAGTTGTCACTTTACAGGCTTTAGAGTTTTGATTGTTGTGGACATCGATGTTTCTTATGTTACTCTCAACTCTCTCATCTCCAGCCATCCTCAACCTAAACGTGCCTCTCATCTCCGATCAGGTTTAATTTCCTCATTTTATTGTTTCCATATGAGCTTTCACCGTCCGTCTAAAGTGCTCTTTCGATTATTTTACAAAAAAAATTTGGCACTTGATTGGTATATGGGTTTTGAGTAGTTTTCGATTTTGGTACAAGAAATTCAATATTTTAGGTTTAATTTCCCTATTTTTCTGTTTTGGAGGAACATTCATTGTGTTTTTCATGCCTTATTCATGAGATTTCAATGATTACATGTGTGTGCGTTTCTCTATTTAGATGTGTGTGCATCTATGTGTATTTGATCGGTTAATAGTGGGTATGTTTCTGAACATCAGATAGGTTTTATAAAGGTGCAACTAAATTTTGTGAAGTTATTTGAAATTAAAGGGTCTTTCTGTAAATTCGTACATCTTTTTTTGTTGCAATATTGCATAGAATAGCTTCATATATTTCATATTGTAATTCACTTGTGATTCACATATGAATTACATATGATTCACATGTAAATCACATATGAATTACATGTGATTCACATGTAATTCACATATGAATTACATGTGATTCACATGTAAATCACATATGAATCACATGTGATACACATGTAAATCACAGGTAATTCACATATGAATTACATGTGATTCACATGTAAATCACATGTTATTCACATGTAAATCCAATGTTATTCACATATCAATCACATGTAATTCATATATGAATTACATGTGATTCACATGTATTTCACATATGAATTACATGTGATTCACATGTAAATCACATGTTATTCACATATGAATTACATGTGATTCACATGTAAATCACATATATATTTTTGTGAGTGTTTTTGCATCAATCAATTTCTTTTTATTTTTCTTGTAGATTTGGAAGAAATTGTGGTGAATATTGAAGAGGTGAAAAATAATAAATTGAAGAAAATATGGAAATATTGACACGGAGACATGAAAAAATTTTGTAGCATTTTTTTTGTTTTTGATATTTTATATTGTATCGAATAAAATATTTATTGTATTATGTTTATAGATTAGTAAATAAAATGAGTTTTCTTATGATTCCTTTACAAATATTATAATATATGAAATATGCATATATGCTCTTGTAAAAATATGCATAAAAGTACCAAAAATGTTGATTTTTTTGGTTAAAAAGTATAGTATTTTTTAAATATTTCAGTTTTTTTTAATTTATTGATTTTTAAATGCTTTTAAAAAAATTGCAATTTTTTTTTAAAAAAAATATTTTTTCAATTTTTTTTCAAAAATTCATGTTTTTTATAAAAAAAAATTAAAAAATCTACACTTTAAAAAAAACTAAAAAATACTATTTTTTAAAAAATCCAAAATTTTGATTTATTATGTAATTTTTAGACATTTATATTAATATTTACAATAACACAAAAATTAAACATTAAATGAGATTGATAAGATTACGATCATGCCCTTAATGAATTAGTTTTGATCTAACGCTCCACTTTTAGTTCTCGGGTTCTCGGGAAACTATGAGTTCTCAACCGATCTCACCCCTATATATATATATATATATATATATATATATATCTATATATATATATATATATATATATATATATATATATATATATATATATATATATATATATGAAATAAATTATTTTTCAAAGAAAAAAATAAATTATAACACATTATAAGAAAATGCAATATCACCACATGGCACATAAGTCCTACTTTAACTATTTAGACTATTAGGTATGGGTCCATTTTAGTAGTGTTATAACAAGAAGCAACAAGAAGATGGGGTGGTGTTCATGGTGTTATAATAGAAGTTAAGAGAGAGAGAGAGAGAGAGTTTGTGCAGCCAATAGATGATCCTGTTTCATCCCGTCATGGAGACAATAAGAAGCAACACAACAAGATACAACAAGAAGGGGGTTGTGTTTTTGATGTTATCACGGCATTATGGGCTCCCACATCAGCCTTAACGGCGTTGTGGTGACCCATACCGCTTGGTCTTAAAAGCTAAAATAGGTGACACGTTTTTTTTTCGTAAGCATGCTCTAAATATATAAAAAAAAAAACTCTAAATATATGAAAAAAGAATAGAATTAGCGTTTGATATGTAATATCCAAATGATGAATGAAATAGAGCATTATGACAAATTGAAAATTCGTGTTTGAATGCCAAGAAAGAATGAAATTTATTATTCGTCTTGGACTGTGCTTCCATTTCTTATACTGATTTTAATCTCGTTCAAAAGAAAGGTACTTTTAATTCTTTAAGAGAACGAATTAAAACTCCAAATATATCTATTAATAAATAATAATGTTTTTACAAAAAAAATTAAAACTCCAGATATATAATTTTTTTAATTTTAAAAAATATATATTATTTTCAGGTAATTACATTAAAATTACATAGTATCTAGTTCTTTTTGTTTTATAACTTTTTTATATCATAGATATTTATTTTTTACTATTTGCAAAACATATAACATGTATCACAAGTTCTATCTCTTGGGTATATCTGTATAATTGAGATGTTTTCAAAGTAATGATCATTAAACTTCCACATATCTCAATTGGATGATATCGAAATTATAAATTAAGAATTTAGATTATATATGTTGAGTGTATAGTGCTAAGTGCTCGCAATATTGATTTGTTTTTTTAGCTCTGCCAATTTATTCTTTATATTCGTTCATTTACTTAATGGTATGTAAGTCTTGTGTTGGTGACAACTTCTAGCTTCGTTGTAAGATTATATTTATAAGTTCGTGTTGACTGATGACTTGAGTATACTGTATGTATATGCATGCCAAATGTATATGATATCCGCATATAAGAGATTTTAATCTTGTAATTCAGGATTTGTGGGTAAGCTATCTATAGAGACTAGCTAGACAACCCCTTTTTTGGGAATCATATAAACTTTTAAAAGTGAAGCTTATTTGATAAATTCAAGAATATCTTATTTATCTATTTGGATATTTGGTTCTTACAATTGAAAAAATAAATTGTTGTACAAAGTTCAGAATCAAACCCTTTAAATAAAGAAATGCTTTCTTGAAAAACTTTAATCCTTTTTCTCTCGAACCACCTTTCACATCACAACAAGAAAAAAAAGGGTCTTCTAAATATAGGTTTTGAGGATAATATATAAATGTATTAAAGCAGAAAAATTAATATGCTATAAACAAAAAAAATAATAATAACAATAAATCAAAACCAATCACACACCTCCAATCCAGCTACTCCCTGGAACTTTTTTCATCTTCATCTTCTTCATCATTCGTTTAACCCTCGCAGCATATCCCCAGCTGCCAGCATCAGCATACATATTCGACAACACTAAACTGCTTCCAGCACTTTCAGGCTCCAGCTCAGCAACACGCTTAGCTGCCACCTCAGCAAGACCAACATCTCCATGAAGCTTACAAGCACCCAACAACGCACCCCATACATACACATCAGCCTCAATCCCCATTTCTTGAATCAACTCATAAGCCTCCTTTAATTTCCCTTCTTGTCCAAACAAATGCACCATACAAGCATAATGCTCTAATCTTGGCTCAATCTTGAATTTCTCTTGCATAATCAAGAACAACTTTTTACCAAGCTCAATCATCCCACACTGGCTACAAGCAGTTAGAACACCTGTGAAAGTTAGATGATCAAGTTTGACTTTTTGGTCAACCATTCCATTGAATAACCTAATTGCTTCATCACAATCTCCGTGATTTGCAAATCCAAATATCATTGAGTTCCATGTGATTGTGTTTCTTTCAGGCATGTTGTGAAAGAGTGTTTTGGATTCGTATATGAAGCCACATTTGGAGTACATGTCTATAAGAGCACTAGAAACAAAGATGTCTTTTTCAATTCCCATAACTATGGAATATGCATGAATCTCTTTCCCATGAGCTGAATCTGCAAGATTTGCACAAGCAGGTAGAAGAGAACTGATTGTAGCTGAAGTTGGATGCATTCCAGTTGCCAACATTTTCTTGAACAAATCAAAAGCTTCTTGATTTCGAAGATTCTGAACGAATCCAGAGATGACTGAAGTCCAAGAAACTACATCGGGTGGAATCCTGGATTCCTTCATCAATTGGAATAGTTTAGCGACATTTGAATCATCATTGGCTTGTGAAAATCCTGCAATTAGTGTATTCCATGTCACCAAATTTGGTATTACTCCTATTGATTGTGTCTTCTCAACCAAGATTAAGGCTTCATTGACTAGTCTGTGTTGAACATAGCCTGCAACCATGGTGTTCATAGCCACCAAATCGATCTCTACCATCACATCAAACACCTTTCTTGCTTTCTTGATTTTCCCACATTTTGAGTACATGTCAATCAATGCGCTAATAACAAATGGATCAGATTCGAATTCTTGTTTTACAACAACAGCGTGTAATTTCTCCCCTGTTTGTCGATCCAACAGGTGCCCACATGCTTTTAGAACACTGGGTATTACAAACTTGTTGGGTTCCAGCCCTTCTCTTTGCATCTCGCAGAACACGCCCATGGCCTCCTGGTGGAAGCCGTGGCGTGCATATGTGCCTACCAGAACAATCCAACGTCGAGTGTTTCTTTTGGGAATTTCGTCAAACAGTTTGCGGGCATCACATATTTGACGGCATTCTGTGTAGAAAGATATGAGCTTTGAGGCGACGTGGGTGGAACGAGCTAAACCATTGATGATTAGGTGAGCATGTAGCCGTTTTCCTAATTGTAGTGCTCGATTGCTAGCATAATTTTCGATAATTTTTACGAACCAATCGGAAGGTGATTGTGAAAAATGAAAACAATGCATAGAAAAACTGCTGATGACAAAAACCAGCGAGCATTTTCCGTGGGAATTGCCAAATTCCGAATTCGAATTCTACTCCTTCGAGATTCCTCAGCTTCTTTTCAACATAATGGTGTTACCTTACCACTCATTTTGTGTATGTACTATTTTCTCGTTTAAATGTTAACAAATTTTATTTATGTAATGATTAAAAAGATTTTTTTTTTATAAAAATATTCAAATCAACCTAGACGCCCTATATTTGTGACAAATTGTAACTAGGTCCAGCATGTTCTACTTATGATTATATAATATGGCTGATAGCTAGGGTTTCAATTATATTTTCACTCGT